TAGTAGCTTGTCTCCTAAGGTTGTTGTGAGGATTAAGAGTGAACACACACAAAGGGCTTAGGATTATGCCTGACAGTTCACAGTCAGGTCCCAATAGACTTTTTTTTTAATACCCTGAGTTCAGTACTTAACACATAATGAGTATTCAATAAATGTTTTCTGGTTGGATCAAAGAATAAAAAAGTATAAGTAGCCCTGGCCAGTTTTCTCAGTGGTGAGAGCATTGGCCTGAGGACTGAAGGGCCACAGGTTTGATTCTAGTCAAGGACACCTACCTCGGTTGCTGTCTCGATCCCCAGCCTCAGTTGGGCAAGTGTGGGAGGAACCAATCAATGTGTCTCTCTCACATTGATGTTTCTCTCTCTGTCTCTCCCCGTGTCTTCCACTCTCTCTAAAAATCAATGGAAAAAATATCCTTGGGTGAGGATTAACAACAGCAACAACAAAACTGTAAGTGGTTAGCACATTAGAAATTATGTTCTCACTGAATTCCAAGTGGCCCTGATGTTATAAAACCACACTGGGAATGCCATTGAAAGATCTAAAAAGAAAGAATATGCTCCATGCATGGAAGTAACATGTTCAGATGACAATGGCCAGCTGAGTACCTTCTGACCCAGAGGCTCCTTGTGCAGAAGGGAGGAGGGCCTGACAACTCAACCAAGGACATTTCAGGTGTGAAGGAAAAGAAAAGGAGGTGACAATGGTTGGGATTCCATCTGTGTTTGCTGGGAATCTTGATCTTCTGGTCTAGGGCAGAGGACTGAAAGGTCCCAGGTTCGATTCCGGTCAAGGGCATGTACCTGGGTTGCAGGCACATTGGGGTAGGGGTGCCTGCAGGGACCTGATACCATCTAGTCCAGGACTGTATGACTTTGAGCAAGCCACTTACCTCCCCAGGCCTGAGTTAAACTCTCATCAAATGAACAAAGTTAGATCAAAGAATATTCAGGGCCCTTCTGACATCTACAGATTCTAGAACTTTCTATATTATATACCTAGATTATAGACGACATCAGGGAGAAGCAAGGACCATGACATGAACTAAAGAACAAACACTCATAGCTCAGAGCTAGGTGTCTAAAAGTACAAAAGAAGAAAGCCATTTCAGGACAAGAGAATTTAACTCACAATGGGAGTTATACTTTACATCTACAAGCAACACATTTCAGGAAATTTCAAATGTTCATCTCTGACTCGATAATTCCTTTTAGAGGATTCAATGTACAGAAATAATCACAGATGAGCACCAAGACTTGCTCACAAAGATGTTCATCTCAGTGTACTTATAATAGAAAAAAATTAAAGTAACTTCAATTTCTAATACTCAAGGAACGGTTAAATTATCCATGGTATGTGTCTTTTGCAAGAAAATAACATGGAGGAAATACTTATGATATATAATGTCAAGTGGGGAGAAAAAGTACCATCCTGCATCGTCTCTGCTTCATAATCTCAGTTCCAGGGGGGAAAAAAGTTCACAGATGAAAGACCAGAAGAAAATGTGCCTCTGGTTAGTGGGATTTGTGGGAATTTTTTTCCTGCTTCTTTGCACTTCCATATGTTCAGCATCTAGTACTTTGAAACCCTCCCCTAAAAACAGTACAAAAATGGAATTTGAAGAAGTAACACTTTGCCAAAAGTACAGTCAGCTTTCTCACCTCTTTGAGCAGTGTGATGCAAGTATCCCATTTAAATACTGGATCCCTTCCTTTCTTCTTCACATGGTGGGGGTGGGGGCAATCTGGCTCCAGCATGGAAACCTCACAACGTTGAATAGGGCCTTGGAGTGCTGGGCTCTTCACTCTTCCTGGCTGGGCATGAATCGCTGCCCTTTTAGATACCCTGCACTGGCAAGTCCTCAGACCAGGGCTGCCATCCAAGCTGCCATCTCCTTGCCCATTCTGGCAAAGCCATGAAGGAATGCCAGGGAAGATGGCACCATGCCCAGGAGCTGAGGGCACAGGCTCTGGAGACAGACCAAGCAGAACTCTGCATCCCAGAACCTGGACACACAGACTCTGCACTTCTTGAATGTTCAGGCACAGACCATAGAGACAACTTTGAAGAGAGGCAGGAACATTGGTCTGGGCTCAGAAAACCCAATTGCTCTCCTGGCCCTGCTTCTACCTGGCTATACGGTCTTGAGGAAGTCACCAAACTTCGGATGGACTTGATTTAAGGTCACTTTCATCACTAAAGGTCTAACCTGTGTCTTGTTGCTATGTATGGCCTTACTTCTAAGAATGGGCATGCTTCAGCTAGTCTATTTGGCTACATGTTATCCCAATTAATCTCAGCTGTCCTGAGAGAGGCAGACCCTTCCTATAAGCACCACTGGGTTTAGCAGAGCACCACCCCCTGCATAGATGTATGACAGAGAAAGGGCCAGGTCAGGGGTGGACCATACCTTATGGAGGATGGGGGTGCAGCAAGGCAGTAAAAGACCAGCGGAAAACGAGAGGTATGCACACCCGCTGTTACCAAGGGAAGTTCCCAAGGATCTTTATTCCAGGCCCAGAGCACATCCTCTTCTAATGCTTTTGACCAAATTAGAAGGATGTCCCCAGCAGTACATTCTTCCTGCTCCATCCACATGTGCTGCTGGCAAAGAGAGAGAGAGAGAGAGAGAGAGAGAGAGGGAGAGAGAGAGAGAGAGAGAGATTGAGCGCTTTGTTAGCCTCTTACTCCTAGCCCAGTCATCAACCACCTTCATCTGAGTTCCACTGAGATTCTAGGCCTTGAGCTCCACAGGCAGCCATTGTATCAGTAAGACCACCAGGGTGGTCAAGGTGGTCTTACAGACCTGGGAGGAGCGTACTGCATCTTGAACAAAGTCCTGGCCAGGTTGGGGTTTACACCAGGGTTTCTCCAGGTTCTCAAATTTTGCACAGACCAGAATCACCTGGAAGGCTTGTTAAGACAGATTGCTGGGCCCCGAGTTTCAGATTCAAAGGGTCTGTAGGACTCAGGATGACCCAAGGACTTGCATTTCTCACAACTTCCCCAGTGATGTTGTGCTCCAGGGGCCACTCTAAGTACAGGTAGAAACCCAGGGGGTGGGCTCCAAGGGCAACCCTAGGGAAAGGTAGGAGAATATGTCTGTGCGCCCATATCCAGCTAGACCCTGGCCAGGTCCTCGGTCCATGGTGTTGGCCCCTTGAGGAGAACAATCAAGTGTATTGTCTCTCCTGGACCTTTGTTAAGATGTCACTTCCTCAGAGATGCGGTCTCTGATGATCCAGGTACAGCAGCCACTGCTCTTGGTCATATTGTTCCCTTCTATATTCTTTTAATCACTAATTAGTAGAGTTGCATTTCCTACTTAGTTGTTTATGTGTTTATTGTCCACTTTATTCCATGAGATGAGGGTTTCTTGAGGGTGTCTTGTCACTGTTGAATCCTCATCTCCTAGAACAACATCTGGTCTCGTACTGACACTCAATGCACAAACATTATGGAATGGTGGCCTTCAGCCATCCCGGGGAACAAACTGAACTCTTGGTGTCTGCAGTGGGTGGTGTAGACCCCAATCTATTCCCAGGGTCCTTAGTGGACTAGCTCTGCAAAGTCTTTATAATACTTGAGGCAATAGGTGAGACCTCAGCATGAAGCTCTTAATACTCCACTATCATTTAATGAGCCATTAGATGCCTTGACTGAACATAGAGGAGAAATAAATGGAGACATGGTGGAAATGTTGAACTTGGCCCTGGGGGTTCCTAATGGTGATAAGAGCTCCAACTCCTCCATGCTGATAGCAGCCCTGAGCTAAATATCTGCAAGGACCAGGACCAAGGGGGGCTCCCCAAGCCTGGAGCTCTGCTCTAAGGGGAGTACACTGGTGAGATCAGGCTCCCTGCTGAGTCTGTGCCCTGCTTGTCAGGTCACCAGGCAGAATATTAACCACAGCTGCTCTACCAGACTTCCTCTCACTTGGGCAGTGCAAGAACAATGACCATGTACTACCACACACACACACACACACACACACACACACACACACACACACACACACACACACTTTCCAAACCAGTCCTCTATGTCCCAGGCAATGGCATAAAGGAAAATGTTTAGTTAGCTTTGGGCTCAAAACTGACAAGTCCCCCTGACAATGTGCCACAGCCTAGACCTGGAGCTCTGGTGTAACTGACCTGGGGGTTACCTTTCTGAGTCTTTAGAGCAGTGATTCTCAACCTTCTGGCCCTTTAAATACAGTTCCTCATGTTGTGACCCAATCATAAAATTATTTTCATGCTACTTCATAACTGTAATGTTGCTACTGTTATGAATCGTAATGTAAATATCTGATATGCAGGATGGTCTTAGGCGACCTCTGTGAAAGGGTCGTTTGACCGCCAAAGGGGTCGCGACCCACAGATTGAGAACCTCTGCTTTAGAGGCTGAACTTCTGACATTTGCAGTCCAGCAGTCCAGGCCTGAAGCACATGTTCTTGGCATTTGCTTGCTTATTTATTTGTTCAACAAGTAGTTTTTAGGGGAAGGTGGGTGAAGGGGAGGGGCCTATTGTATTTGTGCACCAATCTCTGGGTATATGTGTATCTCTGTGGACACAAATTATAGTAAAAATTCAGTTTTACTCAATGCACTAAATATATCCTGGATTGGATCCTAGGACAGAAAAAGGACATTAGTGGGAAAACTGGTGAAATATGAATAAACTCTGGAGCTCAGTTTTATAGTAATGGAGCAATGTTAATCTCTTAGTTTTGACTAATACACCAGTTATGTAAGATGCTAACATTGGGAGAAACTCGGTGTGGGATGTATGGCAACACTCCATACTATTTTTGCAAGTTTTCTGTAAATCTATCATTATTCCTCCAAAAAAGTTTATTTAAAAAATTCCGTTCCAAAGTTTTACAATCCAATGTAACATATTGATTTGGAGGTTTAATTGGCAAATCCACTATTCAGTTCAACTTTTATATTTTATTGAGGTATAACATGCATACAGTAAGGTACACAAATCTTGTGTGTACAACTCATTGAATTTTTACATACAGATGCACCCTTCTGATCAGCACCAGGTCAAACATTAGAATGTTCCCAGGACCCTTCGCAGTGAACAGTATTCCTCCACCAGTGTCTTGCTGTATATACCATACACTGGGTTTTGCCTGTTCTTGAACTTCATGTACATAGAATTATAAAGAATGTATTCTTTTGAGTCTGGCTTCTTTCACTCAACATACCATCTGAAAAATCAACCATACTATTATGTATAGCAGTAGTTGATTCTCTTATTATTGGGTAATATTCCATTGCATCAGTAGTCCCCAGTTTAGTTACCCATTCTGTTTTCAATTGACATTTGGGTTGTTTCCAGTTTAGGACTCTTATGAATGAAACTGCTGTAAATATGCTCATCCGTGTATTTGGCAGCTATATGCGTGCATTTCTCTTGGATGTATACTTCTGAGTGGAATTGCTGGGTCATAGGGTATTTGCATGAGCAGGGGGACAAGAATAGGGGGTAGCACATGGCCGGCTCACTGAGCCGAAAATTCAGTTGGGAAGACTTGTTTCAGGGTGAACATGAGGAAGATGATTTCCTCGTAGTTATCATGTTCGTACAGACACCCAAACTGGGGTGAGCCATCGGGGCCGACACCCAGGCTCTGAAGGTCTGAGTAGGCGCAGCTGCCCTCAGCCAGCAGGGTCGGGTGGGACCAGGCGTTAGAGGCTGGGGGCCGTGTATTGAGGTAGGCACCTAGGTTGGTTCTCTGCCGGGGGTCAGTAGGGTGAGTGTAGAGCAGCCACTTGTCTGAGGAGCCTGACCCCGCTCTGGGGCTGGGGAAGGCGATCACACTCCCATGGCAGCCATGAGGAGGCTCCACAAGCTTCTGGACCAGTTGGGCCCCCCTGAAATCAAGCCCGTCGTTGACACTCTCGGCCTGAATCCTGACCCCACGGGGGCTTCTAGCATTGAGATATATCATCCTCTGTTTTGCACCCCCGACCTCAGCCACTTGGCACTCCACAGTTTCCGGGGCCACAAAGTTGCCTCTTTCCCACGTGAGCCCGTGGTTGTGGCTGATGAAGCAGAAAGCGGAGGGGCTGGGCCACCCGTGGGCACGGAGTTTCCGGTAGGCGTAGGCTGGCACCACCAGGCTCTGCGCCTCATTGTGTAGCTGCAGACAGTGCCCCGGGCCCACCGCAAAGGTGGCCCATTCCCCATGGGCCGAGCCAATGGCAGAGTCGGTGAGGTCTCTGGTGGGGCTCCAGGACCTGCCGTGGTCGGTGCTGGTGACTTGGCACAGCCGTGTCACATTGACCTTGGTGTGGAGTTGGTGATGCTCAGAGACCTGCCTGGGGATGGCAATGAAGAAGAGGAAGAGGGTCCTCGTTTTCTTGTCATACAAGGGACTTGGATTCATGGACCGGTGGCCCTCCAGCTGGGCTTGGGCCACCTCTTCCTGAGCGTGCCACTGAATGTGAGGAGAGGAAGAAAGACAAGCACTGCCTTGAAATGACCAGTGACAGAGCTGCACTCTCGGTGGGGCGGGGGGTGGGAGTGGGGGGCATCTCATGGGGTTAGGTCAAAGGTCATGGAGGAAGTGTTCATCCACCACTCGCTCAACTCACATCACCTCCCAGAGCTGTGGGAGCCAGGCTCCACCTCACCCCCTGCACAGCAGCCCACTCCTCCTGAATGTCTGCTGCCTCCATTCCCACCAACATGTATCAGAGCACCTATGGTGGGCTAGACCTCAGATACAGAGGTCCTTTGGGCATGAGCCATTTCCAGCTTCATCCTGGTTCCCTCAACCTACCAGCCCAGTCCAACTTTCCATACTTGAAAAGTAAAGCCCTAGTAGTAACACAATAGTCTGACCTGTGTGGGATAGAATATGACAATCACTTCCCATCTTCTATATATCATACTCTATCAATGCAGCCTGGGAGGGGCTGCTACATGACACTAGGACTTGCATGGAGCTTCCATAGTCCCAAAGTCTATGTCATATATGCAACAGTTCTGCCATCTACCCCCATTCATTAAGCCTGTCCCCCCACTGAGTCTTCTAAAGGCAGACACTGTACCAAGAGCCTAACCCCTAAACTCCTGGGGAACAGGTGTCATTATCTCCAACTTATGTCTGGAGAATGGAAGGCTTAGATGAGGAAGGCGAGTTGCCCAAGGCCATTCCTCTAATTGATAGAGCCAGGACTTGAACCCAGGTCCATCTGCTTCAAACCCCATGCTCTGAACAGCTGCTATGTAATAATGACCACAAAGTAATGATAATACTAATAGTAATATGTGATACGCCAGCCTTGGATGTCTGTCAAAATCAATTACTTGATCTACATGCTGGGACTTTAGAACACAGCAATCACTCCAACCAGGTCCCACTCCCCAGGTTAATTTTACTCAAAGGCTACAACCCCAGTTATGGAATTCTAAACTAGTCCTCCCTCAGGTTCTTAATCACACAGGACAACCTTTCTGAGCATTAGTTTCCCTGGACTTGTCCCATCATGCACTGAAGCTGATACCGCCAGGCCAACTGGACTTGGTCCCAGTGAACCCACATTTTCTGGGAGACCACTTTGGGGCACTTTCTCTGCCCCATCCATGGTAGGGCCCTGAATCCCTCCTGGGTTTCGATGTCTCCTTTCTCTCTGTCCCCCAGACCCCAGCCATCTAAGAATGGCATGGTCCCCGTATTCCCGGCAGAGCTAGTGTAGCCTCATCCTGTCTTACCTGGACCTGGTGGGTTGACTCATCATAGCTTCCCCTGCGCAGGACAATCAGCTCTGCATCCTCATCCTTCTTGCTCTTGCGCCTTTCTGCGAAGGCCAGCAGAGTCTTCTGCTGCGGCAGGTAGAGTAGAGCAGGGATTCTGTAGGCCTGTGCTCCCGACTTGAACACTCTCTCCTTCTGCAGGACGGGGAAGGATGCCATGGGGCCTGGGGGAGGCGCAGAAAGAGAAGATGAGTTCCCTGAAGTCACATCCTGAGATGGGGCTGAGCTATCCTCCCAGGCAGGGGGTGCCCACTTCAAGGTCGAGGAGGCTGAGATTGGTGACCTGTCCTCCTTCCCCATGGGGTTCGACCCCCTTATTACCTCCCAAGAGCCTGTCTATGATGCTACACATGCCTGCCATGGAGCTATGCAGCGCGCTCTGTCCATGACACTTCAGGGAAGGGGTATTTGGAAAAGCACATTTTGTGTTGAATTTTAAACCTTGCTAGGACAAATCTGTGATAACCTTCAGCTGCTTTTTCCCACCAAATGCCAAGCCTTGGGTTGGATAAGAGTGTTTGCCAAGTGGCATTCTGCAGCTGTCCAAGTGCCAGAAAAGGACACATAAGAACTTTTTATAACTGCAGGCCTGAAAGTCACCTTAGAAAAAAGGAAAAAAGTGTGTGTGTGTGTGTGTGTGTGGGGGGGGGCCTTGATTTTGCAGGCTTGCTCTCCAGGCTGCCCGAGGCTGACTTCCTAGCCGCCTCCAGTGTGGGGTCTCCACCCCTGGGGGAGGGAGAAGCATCTGGAAGGGAAGAGAGAAGCTCCCAACAACTCACTCGGGCTGAGAGGGTCCTCCAGAGGCACAAAAAAATAAAATAAAAATTAAAAATAAGCTTCCAAAGTGTTGAGTTCAGTTCAGGGCAACTTCCCTGTTCTGTTAATCAAACTTGGGGACACTGAAACACAGTCAAGGGGGGATGACCAGATAGAAAGCATTGCTCTATTCACTTACCTCGCAGCCTACAAAAATGCTTGGTCAGATGGAAATATATCAGCAGGTTAAAGATGTCCAAGAGAGAAGTGATTCTGAAGGGACTGAAAACTGAGCTTGAACTTGCAGATGACTCAATTCCTTCAGCTTTTGGAAGTTTGGCAATCTGATGGGCTATTGGAGATATAATGACAATGAATAATTTTTATACATGGCTGCTTTTCAGAAGAAAAAAAAAGCATTTGATCAAAGAGGGTAGGGAGGCCCGAGGTAACTTGGTGACTATGTGTGACAGTGGTCTCTATGCTAGGCCACCTGGGGTCCCCTTCAGGGGGATGAACCCCCAGCTGCAGGGAGTGCTGGCTGCAGAGCAGATGGCTCTCAGCTGAGCAGGAGGGACGAGATTGTCATCGAATAACCTCCTCTTGCTCATCCCCAGGAAAGGCTGCATCTGATGGCCGGCCTGCCCAGAACCTGAAGACCTGGCCCCGTGACCTATCTGGATCTCTGAGGGCCAGCACAGGTCCAGGGCAACTGCAGTTGCCCTAGGAGGCACACCACCTCTCCTCTGTATACCTGTTCCCATTGCCTGCACTCCCTCCCTCCCGCACTGTGTACATTATTATCTACTTAAAACTTATTTAACATGTTTGAGAAATCTATGCTTTTACTCTGTGCCCTACATTGTTTAGGAACTTGGGATACTTTATGAATAAGACAACTAACCCCAGTCCCCACAGGCTGCTAATACAAGTATTTGTCTCTTAAAGATTTAGAGCCACAGCTGATGCAGGAGGGGATGGGGTAGAGGAAAAGGGGGTCTTGGGGTCCATTCTAGAGAGCTCTTCTCTATTCTCAGTAACTCAGCACCAGTCCAAACTCACACACTTACCGGCAATACCAATTCCCAAATGTCTTTAGAATAATAATAGCAAACACAAAAGTGACCCTTACTAAATGCTGGGCACTCTTTAAGTGCTCTATAATATTAAAAAAAAGTTTTTTTGGAAGTTATATTTACAAATTATATTATTTTACAATATGATTCACAAATATGTACTCATTTCATCTCCACAACACCCCCATGAAGTTGATGCTATCATTGCCCATTGTACAGATGAGGAAATTAAGCCCACCCAGCCCTTCAGTGTCAGAGCTGGGACTACAGATTCTTCTGACCCACGCAGCCTGCCTCTCAGGGCAGTTCTGGAAGGCGCCATCTTCCTGCACCTTGTCACATGATGCCTTAGCACCGCATGCAGGTAGCTAGCTGGCCCACTTAGCCCCAGCCCTAGCTCCAAATGTGGCAGCAGCTTCAGGCCAAGGTAATGGAAAGAAAACTGAATTAGGAATCAGATTCTGGGCCTAGGTTCATGTCCAGAAAGTTGTATATCTTTGGGCAAGAAACTTCCTCTTGGAGGTCCATCTCCCCACCGGGCAAGAAAGGGGCTGAAGAAGGTGATTGCATAGGCCCCTTCGTCTCCAGAGCAGGCACCGAGTTAGGTCCTGACTCCTTTGGAGAGGCTGGGCAGGGGCCCTGGCACAACCCAGTCCCACACAGCAGCACAAAGGCAACCAGAGAGATGATAATGTCAGTTTGCACCATGAAAAACTGCCATTTGGTAGGTCAAAAATAATTGCATAGTGACGATTCCAGATGGTCCCACCTAAGGCTACCAGCAGCTGACATGGCTTGTAGTCTGTGGGCACCAAATCTGGAGCAACGCATCTTACTTCTCCTCACTCTGCCTACAAGGCCAGCTCTCATGCTCCCATCTCAGATATGGGGAAACCAAGAAGTGAGTCAGGGAGGCGGTGGATGACTTCCTTAAGTCGGTGAAGGTGGGTGGATTTGAGCCTGGATCTGCCTTATTTCAGAACACATGCCCCTAACCACTGGATTCTACTGCCACAGACCCACAGCTGGGACCCTGAGGTCTGAGTGCTTCCTAACCAAAGGCAAGCGGTGGAGGGCCCCTGCCCACTTCCTCTCTCTCTCCTGTTGGGAGCACCCTGGCTGCTGGCATTCCCTCACCTGCTTCAGGAGGCGTCTTTGCCAACTCAGATCTGTATGGAACACCTTCCATGAGCCTGGAAACAGGTAAGCACACCAGACTGGTCCCTGCCCTTCTGAAGCCCACAATAAGTGACAGCCAGTGCTTCTGGGAGCAAGAAAGAGGTGCACTTTGCAGCTTTCCCCAGAGGAATAGCCCTTGTTCTTGGGGCCAGCTTTGGATGGCATGTTGGCCTGCTGGCTACCACATTGAAGTAATGCCATCTCTCCAAAGAGCAGACAGGGGCCCGCATGTGGTCTGCCCTCAGTTCCAGCAAAGCAAGCGTGTGGGGCAGCAAGCCCAAAGTGCTCTCCCCCAAGAAAACCCTGTCCATGGGCTCAATGCAGCTTGGGCCCGGGGCTGGGATCCGCACCCCAAGCTGAGAGGAGCTCTCCCAACTCTCACGCCAGGACAGGAGCCTGAGCAGCCTTCTGGAAGCTCAGACCAGCAATAACTTGGGGGCAGAATGAAGAGTTTTCCTGGACTGGCTGATCTGAGCCTTCTTCCGCATTTCCCATCCAACATGTCCCCTGAATACCCCCAAAACAGAGTGAGCACCATATCGGGAGTTGAGGGGCCATGAGTACACTTAAAAAAATGGCCACTGTCAGAGGCATTCCCAAGTGTGGCACCATCACCCCGTAATTACCTGATACAGGAGAACTCTTGTTTATATCAACAAAGGAACAGGTGGGTCAATTCCAAGGGAAGCCTTACCTCAGGGAGTGCTCCAGGTTGGATTCCGGGGCCTGGATTGGACGTCAGAGCGTGCGAGAAGAGGCAGTGGGAACCAGCTTTGAGAAGGTCAGTGCAGCTCCTGTGTTCACCTGGCTTCACCCGAGTCTCACAGCTCTACTACTGGGCCTGTGCCTATAAACACCTGAGGGAGGCCCCAGGCAGTATCAGTGTACAAGCCCAGCCCTGGAGGGCACTGCCTCTCATCATCTGGGGAAGGACTTATCTACAAGTCATGCTGAATCAGGGTGAACCTCAGGCCACTTGAGTCAGGCTTGCCTCTTAAACGGATGCAGTGGGCAAAGTGTGTGCATTTCAGGGAACAGACCTCCAGGGCCTGGGAGGGTGTGGACGTGCAGGAGGACCTGGAGCCACCCAGGATGCAATTCCTCTTTGGGATCTGCCTGGACCAACTAGGTGAGCAGGGCAACCTTCTTGATCTCTTGAGACCTCAGTTTCCTCTGCTGAAAAATGGGAACAAAAACTTCACAGTAGACCAAGCTGCCTGGAGCAGACTATATGACTCACCTGTTACTATAACCCAGTACCTATGGCGTTTCAGACAATCATCAGTGCTCTATCCATACCCATCAACTCAGTGAATGAATGGATGAGGCTGCCTTTCCAGGCAGGGCTGACAATGTGAAGATTTAGATAACCTGTCTAAATCTCTTAACTCAGCATCAGCTCATGGCAAGGACTGCCATGGCAACAAGCCCTTTTCTTCTGGACCCATCACAACATGTCTAAACAGCACCATCCATGGGCCCCAAGTTCATTCTCAGGAGGAGGAGTCAGGAGCTGGCACACTGTCAGAAAATACAACCCAGCTCACCCAGTCTACCGCCAGTGTGGGTGAGGCCTCGGGAGCTGGAAAAACCTGAAGGCAGTCCATTGACTTCAAAGTGCACTTCTTGGCTTAGTCTAGAACTGAGGGATGAGGGAGGCCTCCCTAACTTATTTCCCTTCCCTCCACTGAACATAGTTCTCCCATGATTATCTTCAGCTCTAGGTGGTTCCTGTGGCTCAGAGCCAAGTTCAGCTCTCCTTGGCTGCCCCCCACGTCGGAGTGACCCCTGGATGGCCAGTTCTGGGTCCCCTTGTTTCTGCTCTGGTCTAACCCTCTCCTCAGTTTGCAGAGAAAGGGTCATGGTCTGATCTTGGAATTTATGTTTGAAAGTCCATGTGAACACCCTAGTAAACCCAGACCCCAGCTCTGACTCATATCCCCTGGAGGTCCAGGAATCACCTTGAAGTTGATGCTGTTATATTCAATGGGCCATAGAAGAGGTATTTTAAAAGCGAGGTAAGTGTAGGGTGGTGACTCATTAAAGAAATCATAGCACATCCATAAAATGGAGTATTAGGCAGCTGATTAATTAGAACCATGTCTTGAAGATAATGCATGAAAATTTTGGGATACAAGATAGCATATAAACTAGGATCCCACTTTTGTAAATCTGCATATTATATATTCAGAAATCTATATTAAAAATAAACAAAAATTATACCAAATATGTATTGCTGTATCCCCCGAAACTTAGCACAGTGCCTGGAACAAAATAGATACTTAGCAAATATCCAGTGAATATAGAATGAATAAATAAATACTATCAGTAGTCAGTTTTAACTAGTGGGATTACAAATGATATTTATTTACTTCCCGTACTCTTCCAGGCACATATGACTTAATTATTAGTTTAAAAAGACATTTTTTAGAAATATTTTTTATTGATTTCAGAGAGGAAGATATAAACATCAATGATGAGGATCATTGATCAACTGCCTCCTGCACACCCCCTACTGGGAATTGAGCTCACAACCAGGGCATGTGCCCTGACCAGGACTCAAACTGTGACCTCCTGGTTCATAGGTTGATACACAACTACTGAGCCACACCAGCCAGGCAAAAAAAAAAACCCATTATTTTTAAAATGATGGTAAGTAATAATATGTGGCCTAATAGTGCCTACACACTTTATCCTGGCCAGACCATCAAAAGGGCTCTCAAAAGGGCCCAACGAGCTTATAAAAATGACCTTGACTCAGCATGAAAATTTAACTTATATTTGACTCCAAAGGATAATAAATTTATTGTGTTCAAAAACGTTCACTGAGGTCTGGCTGGTCTGGCTCAGTTGGTTGACCAGAAGGTCACCGGTTTAATTCCCCATCAGGGAACATGTCCAGGTTTCAAGCTCGATAACCAATAGGAAGCATGCGGGAGGCAGCCGATCGAAGTTACTGTCTCTCCTCCTTTCCTCCCTCTCTAAAATAAATAAAAACATATTAAAATATATATGTGTTCACCGAACACATACATGTAGCCAACACCATACTAACTTGGAAGGAAGAGAGAAAGATCCTGGATAAGGTCCCAGAGCTTCCCGTGTTTATTATTTGTGTTGGGGAAAGAAGACAAACATCCAAGAAACAGAAGCCAGTCACCCAGGAGTTGGGGGCGGACTGTAATGGTGACAGTGATTAAGAACAAGGGGAAGTGGGAACAGGGGTAGTCAGTAAGACTTCCTGGACGAAGGCTTATGACCTGAGCTAGACCAGGAAGAAAAGTAAAATTTACAGAAACAGAGGTAGAACATTTCAGCAGCATGTAGTGGGTGCAAAGTTTGAGTCTGAGGAAGCAAGGAAGCAGGATAGTGCTGGCTGGTTAGGATCATCATTGTTTTGATAGTAATCTATTTTCTCTCCTTACCTTTATGATTTTTCCTTACCTTTGATGCTCTGCAGTCCCACTATGGGTTGTCCAGGTGTGCATTCATTTTTATTTACCTTGTGGACTCAGCATGCTTTTCCAAACTCAGAGGACAAGTCTTTCTTCAATTGTGAAAATTGCTCAGTCATTAATGCTTGAACATTGCCTCTCCGCCCCTCTCTCCTTTAGAACAGCCTCTTCAATGTATACTTGGTTTGTTCTTCAGATGTCTTTTGACTTATTTTTCATGTTTCCCATCTCTTTGCCTCCTGGTGCTTCATTCTGGGTCCTTTACCCAAAATATCTTCCAAATCACTAAATCTAGAGTTGTGTCTACCTATGAGGTGTTGTTTTTTTTCTAATGCAATGTTGCTGTTTTTTATTTCTACAATTTCTACTTAGTTCCTCTTTGAATTTACTTTAAAAAAAAAAACAAAACTAAATTCCTCAGCATTAAAAAGCAATGCACTATTAAGCCATGAAAAGACATGGAGAAACCTAAAAGCATACTATAAAGTGAAAGAAGCCAACTGCTAAGGCTGCATACTGCATGATTCCAACTCTATGACATTCCGCTGAGAGAGTGAAAAGTCAGTGATTTCTAGGGGTTGAGGTGGGAAGGTGAATAGGAGAAATATAGATAATTTTTAGGGCAGTGAAAATACTCTCTGTATAATATCCTATGGATACATATCATTATACATCTGTCCAAACATACAACACTGCCTGAACCCTAATGTAAACTATGGATTTGGGTGATAATGATGTATCAATGTAGGTTCATAAATTATAACAAACTAGAGGCCCAATGCACAAAATTCGTGCAAGAGTAGGCCTTCCTTCTCCCAGCTGCCGGCACCGGCTTCCCTCTGGTACCCGGGACCCAGACTTCCCTCTGACCCTGGCTTTGTCCAGAATGATGTCCAGAAGGATGTCTGGTCTAATTAGTATATTACCCTTTTATTATTATAGGTCTACTGCTCTGGTGGAAATGTTGATAATGGGGGAGGCTATACATATGTGGGGACAGGGTATATATGGGAAGTCGCTGTACCTTCTCCTCAATCTGGCTGTGAACCTAAAACTACTCTAAAAAAGTGGTTTTAAATTCTAAAAAAGTGATTTCCTATTTTTGTTTTTACAGATTTTTACTCCTTTATCTTTTTAAACACCTCAAATATACTTATTTTTAAGTCTCTTTCTATATTACTCCATTGTTTCTATTTCCCCATTTTTGTGGGATGCTTTTCTTCAGTTGGATTTCCTCAAATGCTGTATAACTTGTTATAGTCTATTTTAATAATTCATAATTGTTTATATTCTTCATATTGGTCTTCCTCAAATGTTTTACAATTTCTGTATGTGAGCTCATCCTCTATGGGAATTATTTCTCAGAGGTGGTGGAGGTGGAGGTGTTCCCACTGAGGTGCCTCAGGTTGTGGAAACTTCCCCAAAGTTGCCTCTACCTCATTGTTAAGGGCTCACGATTTCTCAAGTTTCTTCCTCTGTTTCTATCTTAGAGTCTCTGTACTTCATGAGTGGTGAAGGTTTAAACCTCATGTACAAACCCAGCTTTTCTATTTTCTTGTAAGTAATTCTATTTCTACTCATAGAAATTACCTAGGACAATTTTTAACCTCTGCACTGTAATTTCTCTCCCAATTTCCTGTTGTGTTCAAGTTCAAAGGCTTTGATTTTTGTTCCCCCACAATTGTTAATTTAAAACAAATATATCCCTGGCCATGTGGGTAATAGTTCCTGAAGCATTAACTCAACAGGGTACATATAGAATTACCTATTAACTTATGGCATCTAGAGATTTATCTTCCTTGCTCTTGAAATCAAATATATATTTATAATACATACATATGACATATATATGCATATATGTCTACATTCAGCATTTCTGTATGTTCAGGAAATATCATGTGATGCTGGGCAAGCTGTTTAATCTCTGTATGTCTGGCTGCTTCATCATAAGACTGTAGTGATGATTAAACAAGTTAATTCATGTAAAGTGCTTAGAATACAGCCTGGCCCAAAGGTTGTCAATAGATGTATGTCAAATATCCTAGCTTCTGCTCAGTTCTTTTTCTTGACCAGACCTGGTCCCTTGTCTTTATGTATTTCAAATGTATTTTTAAAAATAAAAATGCAATTTCTAAAACATTTACATTTTAAACTTTTACATTTCTCTTCTCTTCCCACTCCCAACAGCAAACTTTACATAGAAGTTAGTAGAAAATCTTTTTTAAATCTCTTATAATGAATTAAGCTTATTATACCTGACCACTCAATTCCCGCCAATGTGCAATTGGAATAATCACCTTAAAATAGCTGGTTTATGATTATTAAGTCCATTAATGATCTATCAGAAATTATCACCCAGAAAACATCACAAAAGCTTCTGGTCAAGGGCATCTCAGGCCTTGAAATGATTTCTCATGTCTTGTCCATTCAGGCTGCTGTAACAAAATACCTCAGACTGGGGGGCTTATAAACAACAGAAATTTATTTCTCACAGTTCTGGAGGCTGGGAAGTCCAAGATCAAGGCATTGGCAGATTCAGTATCTGGTGAGAGCCTGCTTCCTTGTTCATAGGTGGCCGTCTTCCCTCTAGTGGAAGGGCAAGGGAGCTCTCTGGGGTCTCCCTTACAAGGCACTAACCTATTCATGAGGAGTCCGCCTTCATGCCCTAATTACCTCCCACAGGCCCCACTTCCTAATACATCACCTTGGGAGTTAGGTCTCAACATTAAATTCTGAGGGAACACTAACACTCATTCGATGGCACTCAGTATCACCCCAGAATATTCCTATAGAAGCACTATCGACCATTATTAAAGAGGGAAGGACTTTAAGATGTGCTAAATTGGAAAAGTACCAAGACAATAGATACAGAATAGTACATACATGCTGTGGTTCTGCCTAAATAAAACAAAAGGATGTAGGTGTGTAAGAGGGGGGTGCAGGGGTGAGAGAGAGAGTATGTAGAGAGAACATTTCTAGAATACTCAGGAAACTGTTAACAGAGGTTACATAAGATGTTTTTGAGAAGAAAGTGACAGGTTCAGGACTGTGTCAGCATGTTCACATGGCATATTGAGTGGGATGGGGTGGGAAGGACTGGGAACAACTGGGAGAGAATGAACCCAGGAGACCATTAAAGGACATTGCAATGGTCCAGGTCCATGGTCGGCAAACTGCAGCTCAGCAAACCGTGGCTGGCGAACCACATGCGGCTCTTTGGCCCCTTGAGTGTGGCTCTTCCTAAGCCTTAGAGTACCCTAATTGAGTTAATAACATTGTACCTACCTATGTAGTTTAAGTTTAAAAAATTTGGCTCTCAAAAGAAATTTCAATCGTTGTACTGTTGATATTTGGCTCTGTTGACTAATGAGTTTGCCGACCACTGGTCCAGGTAGATTTGAGGGAGCCTGTTCTGAAGCAGAGATGGAGGGGAGGAGAAAAAAAGAAATGAGATTCACTTTCAAGGTGCTCCCAGTGGTACCCTCAGGGCCTAGCACAATATCTACACCTACTAGGTGCTCAACAAACACATGAAATGAATGGTTTCCCATATAAAGACTTACAATTCCAGTTCCCAAAGACATCCCGCTGCACATCTTAAGAGCCAAATTCCACAGATCTTGTCACCTTCTTCTCAGAGTTCACTCACCCAGCCCAGGACCTGTGTAGAGTCAGCAAACGGGATCCACAGGAGGGTGAGGCTGGAGTGAGAGAATTGCAGGCACAACTCTGAGCTGGTCCTGTTTGCACATGGCAAGATGGGTGTTTCCAAAAAGCTGTGGCCCTGCTTCCCTCAGGAGCTAAAGGGAGACAGGAAAATTACTAATGAGAAAGGGAGAAAATCAACCCCCAAAATCAGATCTAACCCTACAAACATGCACAGACCTTGCACTTAGGAGGTGCTTCAAATAGGTTTTTGCAGCGGTCACCAACCGGTGGTCCGTGAAGTCCGAAAGGTTGGCGACCGCTGTTTTAAAAAATTAGACAAAGACAGGGGAGTGAGCAGGAGGAAAAGGAATTTCAGGAGTGTGACATATGAAGACTGGTTGGAAGAAAGAGAACTAATGCCCCTGCAGAACAGAGCATTCAGTGGACACCACCTCAAACCTTCATATGTGAAGGCTCAACTGGAAGTCTTTGGGGATAGGGAGAGTAGAGTTAATGGTATCTTCAGAGCCTAATGTGGGGTCTGGCTGATAATGTCCTGCTCAAATGTTTATTGGATGGATGGATGGATGGATGGATGGATGGATGGATGGATGGACAGATGGATGGATCAATGAATGGATGAACTAATGGATGGATGGGTGGATAAAAGACTACCTCTATCTGGCTTTCAGAGGCAAAACTGAAACCATTGTTTTATCAATCAGGTGGCTGTGATGGACAGGTTTCAAAGATGGCCCTCAGCAATCCTCCCTCCTGGTGTTCACATCTGTGTGTAATCCTCTACCTCTGAGTGTGGCTGTACCTGATGATTTCCTCCTAATGAGTAGAAGGCAGCAAAAGTGATGGGATGTAACTTCTGTGAAAAGATTACAAAAGACAGTGGTTTCTGTCTTCCTGGACTCCCTCTCTGTTGCTCACCTCGGTGACAGGCTGCATAGTGGAGAGGCCTCTGTGGCAGCCTTAGGCCAACAGTCAGTGAGGAGCTAAGTCCTATGGCACACAAGGAACTGAATGTTGCCAACAACCTTGTATGGAAGGAGATCCTTCCCCAGTGGAGCTCTGAGACTCGGCCCCAGCCCTCCCGGCACCTTGACTTTGGCCTGTGAGGGACCCTGAGCAGAGAACCCAGTTAGCTGTGCCAGATTCCTGTCACAGGAACTGTGGGAAATAAATGTGTGTTGTTTGAAGCCACTGTGTTTGTGTTAATTTGTTGCCAGCAATCAGTAGCTAATACAGTGGCTGACTTGAGTTTAACATAAAAATGAACATTCTGGCCATTAAACTCGGCAAATAACAGTAGTGGTTAAGAGCCTAGGGTTTGGTACCAATTGGCCTGAGTTTGAATTTTGAACCCCCAACTTCCTAGCTGTGTGGCTTTGGCAAGATCACCAACTTCTGAGCCTCTGTTTCTGCATCTTTAAAATGGGCATAATTCTCTTCTCATAGAGATTACGAAAGGATTACATGAAGTGATTATATAAAATACTAAGCCCAGTACCTGTCACTGAATAGAAGGTAGATATTAGAAAATAATAATAATAATAATAATAATAATAATAATAATAATAGAGCAAGTTCCCTCCCAAAGCAGCAAGTGTCCCATTCCTGGAAGTGACCAAGCTGAGGCATGATGGTCACATGCAGGAAGTGAAAGGAACCCTAGAGGACCCCAAGCCCTTTCCCAAGCCTCGGATTCAAGAGCTGTGTGTCTGCCTGGCCAAGGCCAAGGGGCGGGGCGGTCAGGTGTGCTGAGGGACCATCAGAGTTACCTTGCACCAGGGAATAGTACCAGCTGTCGCCAGCCTCCAGCAAGGGTGATGCCTTCCCTCCCACACAGCCTCTGGGTCAGGTATGTGGCCACCACCCTAGCTGGGCCCATGGGGCCCAGGAAGGTAAACACCCAGCCAGGAAGTGATTGTCACGGGCATGGGGCCAGCTCTGGGCCGAGGCAGGTCTGAAGGTCAGGAATGCTTCCCAGGGAGCCTTTGCAGGAGAGGACAAAGCGTTTGTTGCGGGCTCTCCGCAACAGAGCGGAGGGCGTGTGGATCTTGCTGGGGACAGGCCAGTGGACAGGACAGAGGACAGGAAGGAAGGGCCATCGGGGAGGCCCAGCCCCAGGAGCTCCTCACTGGCAGGTGAGTAAATAGTTTCCATACTTTTGAAATGGAATGAGATGAAATGAGAGATGGAATGGAGGTTGCGGCCAGGACAGGATTGGAAAGACCCCAGGCCGGTGTGTGAGGGAGAGGAGACCATCCCACCCCTGCTCATTGAGAGGCAGCTCCAAGAGCGAACAGCCCAGACTTCCCTCCCCAGGTCCAGTCCCGTCTTGGCTTCATGCACCCCGCTTCCTGCCAGCAAAGTTCACCATCTTTGAACTGGGGTAGTGTTTCCCTCTGGCTCCTCTCCTGTGATGGCTGTGGGACAATAAGCAGGACTGGCTACATAATTTGCAGTGCCCCGAGCAAAGGGAATATGTGGGGCCCCTTGTTCAAAAGTTATTCTGAATTTTAAGAATTAAGAATTTTAAAATGAAGAATGGCAACATCAGAGCCTTAAATCAAGTGACTGGCTCTTCTAAGAGCAGGGCCCTGTGCAACCGTGCAGGCCGCAAACCATGTCGCCAGCCCTAATTATAAACCTCCTGCATGTAAACTGTGAAGTGACAAACAAACTGTGATTGCTACGAGCGCCCGCTCCATTCTCGGGGTCGGGAAGCACACCTGTGGAACTTGACTCTGAAGGTCCGCAGAGGGATGTCTTTGGGAGCCATGAGGTGACAGCTCCCTGCAAGGCCACCCTACTACATTGGCCCCTGTCGCTCAGGGTCCCACCTCAAGAGAACAAAAGGCTCCACCCCTCTGAACCTTCTGGACTGTGCACCTATCTGGTATCAAGCCAAAGCCAGGTGCGACTCCACAACTGGGAACACGGCTTTCTTGGAGGTGGTGGGGTAGGCTCCTCTTTTCTGTCTTGACGTATAGTTTGGGAGGCTCACAGTCACTGGCTGAACAGACCCGGGCTGTGGCTCCTGTCCTTCCGACAGTTCTGCCCTGTTCTGATGACCAACACAGGTTTGGCTTTTGGAAAGTGCTTCTGTTAATGTCGTAAGACCACTGGTGGCAACGTGCCAGTCTCCCTGTCCCCTTTGTCCCCCTTCCCTTCTCCCTTTCCACTTTCTGCCCAGGTTTTCCCTTTCCTCTTCTCTCCCACCACATCTCCAGCTGCCCCGGCATCGCTTTGCCTTAGTAGAGACCAGTGTCTCTATGGGTGTCTTAAACTTTCCGGTCCTTGAAAGCTGACAATAACCACTTCCCTTGGCTCCTTACTGGAGTCCAAATTGTCTTGAAAACCCACCATTGGAGGGGCTCCCCACAGGAGAGACGAGGTGACCCCAGCAGCCAGAGGTGGAGGAAGGTAAGTGTTTGCCTATGGAACTGGCCCTGGCAGGGGCAGCCCAGGAAACCTGCACCAGTGGTGAAAACAGCGTGGAGACTCAGCAGAGGAGGCCAAATCTAACCGCTCACTGCTGGCTCTGCCCACCTGCTGGCTCCACCGGGGACACCGGAGTCACTATTGGTCTCAACAGCCCTAGACCAGACACCCCAACTCCCAGGAAGGGGTCCTTTCCCCTTTCCATGAGCCCAGTGCCTCCCCAGTAAAGGGTCAGCTCTGACTCTCTGAGGTTACCACCAGCACCGCCCTAAAATGGCATAGATTCCTTCCTTTACTACTTCATCAAATCATTCCCCCCTCCCCCCCCTGCCAAAAATAAATCATTGCTGAGCACCCTGCAGGTGAGGCTTAGAAGAGGGGCTGGGACACAGGTGGGGGAGGCAGAAGCCAGAGGCCAGGCTAGGGGCCCTTTCTTCATGAAGAGGCTCAGGACACCCTCCTCATCCATAATCCATAGAAGGCTATGGGGTCATGGTGCTGAGAGGCATTTTGACTGACTGAGCAGGAGGTACATCTCTGAGACTCTGGGCTATCTTATTCAGAACTCCCCTTGGCATCTTTGGGGGTTGTTGGGGCAGGGCAGCCTGGGCCTCGGAAAGAATTTTCTTTCTGGTCACCTTGGGCTCACCTTTCCCCACTTCCTCAGTGGGCAGAGCTCTGCTTCTGGACCTTGATGAAACACCCAGAGAAGCCAAAGAACTGGCACTGATTTCCTTGGTTGACAGCAGTCCTTGAGGCCCCACTCTGGGGAAGTCTGCACTGGGTCTGGGCAAAGATTTTGAGCACTAAAGAGGGGACTTTTTCTGAGAATACCCTTCATTAAGGACCTGGGTATCTGGGAACCTGGGTCAGCCATCTCTCAATCTTTCTACTTCTACTCACCTTACTTTTAGAATGGAAAAATAAAATCACATGTTCGAATGAGTGGGGGATCATCACAGAAATATCAGGGAGGCCAGCATGGAGGAGGTGACCTTTGAGCTAGACGTTATTAAATGATCTTACATCACTTATTAATTTTTTTGCAAGAGGGGAAGGCTGAGGGATATGGCTTTATGTAAAGTAAGGTTCTGTAACTTCAAAATGAGATAGTAATTTTTCACACTTACCCTAGTTGGATGTTGAAAGTTATTTAAATAGCACACTTGCATAGGAAAGGAGCAGCAGGGTTTTAACAAGGTGGAAAGTGCATGGGACCCCAAAGGCTCCCAGAGATCACACTGTATGGCCAATGTGTCTCATGGGGCACACTGCCCTTCACTTCTGTACTCCAGTGCCGCCTGGCTTTGCCTCAGATTCTCCCTTCCCTTTTCACTCCTGGCTGAGGTTCAAGCCCAAGCATTAGTGTCTGCCACAGCTCTGACCATCAATTATCTAGGTCTTTGATGAGTTGTAAAATGGGGTGCTGATTCGTTATTAATTAACGACTATGTTTTCTACCAGAGACAGAGCCTTCAAAACATAGGTTCTCAGAGGATGAGCAGCTTAAAAGGCTTGGAGGAGCTTGGGAGCCACTGGGGCAGGGACAAGGAAGAGAGACAAGCTGGGCCGGAGGACCTTAGCCCCCAGGCTCTGCCTGGAAGTGGCAAGAGTCAGTCCTGAGTGGCTGGTGGGAGAGTTGCTCAGTTCACATACAATATGGCCTGCTGTCTCAGTAGTTCAACCCACCATGACCATGGACTCCTTGCGGACTGGCTGCTTAGAGAACACCTCATTCAGCCAGTCAGTATTCGCTGCACACTTGCTCTGAGCCAGCAGTGATAAGATGTGACAACATGGATGGTCTCGCTGTCCCCCTCCCAGGCTCCCCACCTTCATTCCAGCCCCTGAGCTGCCTTGCCCTCTTTGCTGCTGCCCAGATAGAGTAAGAAAACCTAGTTTCTCACATAGATATTTCTCTCTCTTCCACTCTCTCTAAAAATCAATAGAAAAATATCCTTGGGTGAGGATGAAAAACAAACAAAAAAACACACAGCAACATACCCTCGGGTGAAGATTTAAAAAAAAAAACAACTTCCAAGTTTTTTAAGATGATAACACGCTGGCATAATGGGCCCTTCCATGATGCTCTATAGACATAAATCCACTTGAGAAAGGGAACACGTCTATAAACAGTTTCTGCTCTCATCTGAGTGATAAAAACCTTCCATGGTGGGTCCTTGAACGCTGGAGGAAAGGCTTATTTCCTGTTGAGTACCTTTGTAAAGAAGTTAGCTGTGAACTTTGAAATGATATTAAGGTTCTTTGTTTCTGGATTAAAAAGGCATCTGGCACATGGACAATTTTCCCTAGTGCCTCGGATATCAGAGCCTGGGACTTTCTTTCTACAGTTTTCTGGCCTCTTTGGAACCAGTTCAGTGTCAAAATCAAAGCCACTTGCTGTCGGCTAACTTGGGTTCCAAGTCAGGGTTAAGACATGGAGAGATTCTAACTTGGGGTTGGAATGAAGCCATCTGATGTTCAGCCTAGGACAAACAGACCCGGCTAATGTTTGGAGAAACATTACTATCACCGATGTGTGTATTCACTGGAGAAATACCACAGAAATTGCCAAAATAAAGGGACATCTTTTAACCACGGGCACAGCCTGCGGAGGCTAAGGTGGCCCCCTGTTACTGCTTACTTTTTGACTCAAGGGCCACAATGGGTTCTTAAACTGGACCGGAGGGCCGGAACAAAAGCATGGATGGAGTGTTTGTGTGAACTAATATAAATTCAAAGTAAACATCATCACATAAAAGGGTACGGCCTTTTTTTTTTTTTTTAGTTTTATTCATTTCAGATGGGCCGGATCCGGCCCGTGGGCCATAGTTTGCCCACGGCTGGCTTAGACCCAGACTGTTTCTGTCTACTTTTATTCCTCCCTGAATCTCCATGATCTTATAAGACTGTGTTCTCAGGAAAGGCTGTTTACCGTGAGTCAGAATGTTCTGAATTAAAGAGGGTGAGAAATAGCTTAGCAGTTATGCTCTTAGCCGCTCGGCCACGGCCAGGCTGCCTCCGCCACTGGCTGGCTGTGTGACCCTGGCTGAGTCAGTTAACCTCTCTGAATCTCCATGTCCTCCTCTGTAAAAACGGGGAAAACGGGACAGGACAGTAACCATTCATATAGGACCGCCTGAGTATTCTATGAGGTGAGGATTCTAAAGTGCTCACACTCAGCTTCAGCTATTGTTATCCCAGTAGGCCTTGAGAAATAAAACAGATCCTTCTTTTCAACATAAACGTTGACTTTGAGCAGCAGGGAGAGAATTTATCATTTTACATCAATTATTTAGCACTTACAGGAGTGTATTAGGATGCAGAGAACTCTCTTTTAAAAAATATATATATTTCTTGATTTCAGAGAGGAAGGGAGAGGGAGAGAGAGAGATAGAAACACCAATGGTT